CCTCCACCTCTGTTTAATGGTGGACGGTTTTTCTTCACAAAGATGGCTTCCTTTACTTCTCTCTCAAACCGTACGAACCTCAAACGTAAACTAGACACCGCATAGCGGTAACATTATGACCCCCGCACACACAAATGCACCAGAACTCAGAAGTCTTTATTCCTAATAAATGTCATGCTTCTAGGTGCATCCCAAAATTGTAGTGGGGGTCTTTTTTGGGGGGGCATTGGTTGACCTGATAGATAGCACCTCATCAGAGCTAAACCAACGAAATCTGACGCTCCTATGTTTAATTGTTTTTGAGCTATGACCATTTTTGTATATCCAGATACCCCTTTTTCGATAAATTGGGGGTCTGGGAGGGGGGGGCACTGGTTAGTGGGCCTGATGGATAGAGCTTCATCAGAGCTAAACAACAAAAGAAATCTGAAGCTCCTATGTTGAACAGTTTCTGAGTTATAAGCATTTTTGCATGTCCTGAGACCCCCTCTCTGAAAGGAGCCCCCTCCTCAAATATGGGGTCTATCATAAAACCGTTGGCTGGTGCAGTGTAGGTCAGACTCATCTACAGTCCTGCCATGTTTCATTTTAATAGGTCTAGCTGTTTTTGTGCTACGGTTCACCAAAAATCACTGAAAAAAAAAGGCGTACGAAAACAACCGACCCCAGCTCCCCTGCAGGAGGTGAGACTAAAGACTGAGTTAAGACTTACAGGTTCTGACTGGGACCACTCAGATCCATTCACATGCTGACAGGACAGATATGACAGAATTCAAGCTGTGTGGGAGACGACTCTAGACCTGCTGCTCCAGAACCAGCTCAGCAGCTCTGGACCTGCTCGGTCCTCTGATCTGACAACATCTGGAACAAGGAAACCTGATCAGGGTTTGGGGGACGGCGTCGCCTTTCATCTGTYTGTTTTTACAGTCAGCAGCTCGCCGGCGCTCCGCTCGTCCTTTTCTACACTCAGAGCGGCTTTGTCTGTTTCCTGACGGGTTCTGTGGTCTCTTGGTTCTGCCGGTCCTCTGCTCAGAGCCACTCCTCTTCCTGCAGTCCAGCACACGTCCCTCCTCAGGGTGGTCCCTGGACCTGTGAGCAGAACCTCCTGCAGCACCCTGGTCAGGGTTACGAATGTTTCCTGAGGCCTGCATCCTCCTGAGGTAGCTGCTGGTCCTGGACGCACTGCAGAACCTCTGAGGACCCGGGACACGGTCCGAGCTCTGCACTCTGCTCTCGCTGTAGCTGCGTTTGGGGACTGGCAGGACCCCTCTGCTGTGCTGTGGGGGGCTCGGCCTGGACTCAGGACAGCACACGGCTCTGGGGATGGAGCGGGGGCTAAAGGCACAGCCGGAGAGCAGGGTGGTGTGAGGGGACAGGAAGGTGCAGGAGAAGGCCCGCTGACACTGCAGGATGCACTTTGGAGAGCTGAGGCGTGCTGCGGCTGYAGCGGCTGACCGCTGACAGCTGGACGCCACCTGCAGCCTCCCACGCTCCTCCTGGACGCTCTGCAGCTGCAGCCCCTCCAGCTGCAGCAGCTTCTGCAGGTACTGCTGCAGAAGGCTGCTGGAGGGGGGCCGGGGGGCCGCCCTGCCCTCCGTGTTGTAGAAAACAGCCAGCTGGCTCAGGTTCCACGAGTTGAAAGGAGGAGGGAGAAAGTCTGGAAAGACAAAGCCGCCTTGGCCCCGCCCTCTGACTCTGTGAGGAAGGKACTCCTCATCCTCGATGACCTCTGGGCTGAGCTCCAGCTGTGGAGGGACCCCACAGGAGGGGGGCTCTGGGCCCCTCTCAGACTCAGACAGATCTGTGTCGCTGTCCCCTGAGGTCTGCTGGCTCTGTGCCAGCTGTGTGAGGAGGGGCGGCCCCCTCACCTCGGAGTGTTTCCTGTGTGGAGCAGCAGGGGGCTCCTTAACCTCCATCCTATGGGTGGGAGACAAACAGGAAGTAGTTCWTGTTAGAAGCCAGACTAGGATTAACGTTCAGATGAATTATGAGTCAGTTCAGTTCCACATGGTTCTTCTGACTGAACACAAGTGGATTATTGCAGAGATTCTTCCGCGAGCGCCACTCTGAGGGCCTCAGAAGAACAGTTTTTAACTTTGGGCCGCAGAGGGCCGCATTGATTTTGAATAAGGTGCAACACAGTTTCTCACCACTAGT